TGTGGGGGTTTCTGGTAATGTACTACTTGAAATTTCTGAAGTAGTTGGTGTTGGTGATTGGGGTATATCAAATTGAACTCTGGGGGTTTGAAAATTTCTATTTCTTCGTGGATGTATTATTTGTCAATTTATTTCAACTGTATTTTGATTTTGACTAATGTGTCTTACACTGCATAAGTCATGTGGTAATGTGGGGTATAAATTATATGTTGGTTCACTTAGGGATGCCTGTCGCTGAACTGGTTCTAGTGGTTCAGATAAGCGAGCTTGTCTTTCTTCAAAGGTATATGGGTTATCTTCAAAAGAAATTCGTGTAGATGTTTGGGGGTTTTGGGTAGTTGTGGGTATGACTGGGTTTTTTTGGGAAGATGTCGGTGAAGACTGATTTTGTGATGGTTGGTTAGCAATTTTGATCTTTTTCTAGTGGAAAGATTTATGTTTATTATAATAATCTTCGATGAAAAGAATTAAAAGGATTGTTGCTAGGGCGAATGTGACTTTTGCCTTTTTTACACATTTGCACATTGTCATTATTTGCACATTTGCACATTTGCACATTGTTTTAAATGTTTCAGTAGGGTCAACTTTGGACCATAACCGCAAAGTTCGAGAAGTTTTCGAGAAAATAGACAAACAAGGATTAGCGCTAGAGTATTCCCAGTGCAATTTTTCAGGTTAAAAAGACATCAGCTGGTTAGGCTTCGAAATCGTTAACACGGACATATATACCGGATATATACTGAAGCAAATAAACGTTCAGTCGGTTTTAGACCTGAAACCTTCACAAACCCCTGAACAGCTCAGATCATATATGGGCGTTCTAAATTATCTAAAGATAATCCTAAAATCAAAAACTTTCACAGAGAAGCTTAGACCATCATAAAAGCTAGTTACAAAACAAGATTGCATCTACCGAAAGCCCCAAAGTTATTTCAGAAATAACGAAAAAATTTTACTAAGTTGCGAACAAAAAACACATTGAAAATGAAATGCTAGCCATGGCGGTCTGGGCAGCACACTGGAAAAACCCGGGTTGCCCACCATAGAAGATAATGCGCACCCATGCACATCCATGCATGATTTGCATGGAAAATGACTAATCATACGTAGCACATACGTTGCTTCCGAAAACCCTCAAAATAGCTTTTTAACGGAGTAAAACAGTAATAAAACGGTTTCTCATCGTTATGCAAGCTGTTGGTAAATTATCAAAAATTTTCACCATGCAAATCATACGTCGCAACATATATGGTGCTACGTATGAAAGAGATTTTTCACCATACTTTTTTTCTCTAGAAAACCGTAAATTAGAGGTTATTTGACAAAAATTACTGAGAATGGTATCTGCAGTGCAAAATACACTTTTATTTGATTTTAATTTTTTTCTACCATGCAAACCATACGTCGCACCATAAATGGCGCTATTCATGGAAACGATGTTTCCTTACAAAAACAACTTCAATAGAGCAGGCAACAGCACATCCAAAATTGACGAAATTTTCAGCAAAATTGCATCATCTTTATGCAAAGCCAGATTTCCTAAACGGTCGGACATACCACAATCAGAAAGCAAAAACCATAAATGGTCGGTACATACCAAAACCTCAATTCTAATCTATCACTTTTCAATCCAAAACTCATCTCAGAAAAATGCATTTTTTTTCAACCGGCACAATCAAAATTTGCGAATTTCAGAAGGTATTTCGTAACAGCCAAGATGACAGTTTTTATCGATTGTTAAGCGAGGTGGCACCACTATCCAGGTACATCATGGGTTGATGCAGAGCCAGGTTAAGAGTGACGATTTCAGTTAGGCCCTGAAGGCAGATATCAAAGGAAAAGAAAGTAGCCCTGATGAGTAATCATGTTATAGCCCTAACGAATTCAGATTTAAACGAAGCAAAAAGAAGTGAACATGATACGAAACAATATAATGAGGAATACAACCACAAGCAACGACTACGAGGAAGTCTGTGGATCTATCCCTACATCCGCCTAGTTTAGAACTCGGTAGCCGTAACCGATAGAAGTATCGTCATCGATGACAAGATAGCTAATCCCAGTGCCTTAAAAAATACTTTCAAGGTTTTATTGTTCACATTCAGGACAAGAAGCCATGGTTGTTGCTGTTCAGCTTGATTGGTGGTGCAAAACTTATCGCGAAATAAAATTCATCTGCAGAAAAAAAGTTTTCTTTGCACCAAGTTTTGTTTGAACCTCAAACAAATGAGTAACATAAGTCCAGCAAACTCAATTTTTCTCCTGAATGCTCCCGATAAGGAAACATAATTGGATTACAGGACCTTGCTTAATGGAGAAGAAAGAAAAAAATTCATTCATATTCTAGTAGCGATTGACAGATATTCAAATTTCCCATCGGTCATTTTAACCCGCACAACAGGCACTAAAAAGATCATCAATTTTTCAACTGAATTTGTTTCTACTCATTGATATCCCAAATTGATTAAGACAGATCATTAATTCGTTTTTGAAAATTTTTTAGTTAGTGAACTTTGTAGGAAACGCGTATAAATCACGTGCCCTATCCAGTTAGGAATCACCGCGGTTGCAGCTTAAAAGAAAGAACGATCCAAACCATCGAAAGAAAATTAGGAGCATTCCAATTAGAAGAAAATGGTTCAAAAATCCAAGATGGTTTGAAATCTACCATCAACTCTATCGATCAATAAAACCTGGAAAAAGACGATCTGAAACGGAGAAAAGACGTGGAGCGTGTAACAGCAGACCTAGGATCAAGACTATCCACAAGAGACAGTCAAGTGCAAAAGTATACCCGGATTTCAAAGGAAACTCAGACTCGGTCGCTGACACCCCTCAGCACCAAGCTCTGGAAAAACTTCTCAAATTAGAAACCGAGTGGATGGCGTGAACAAAGTCAATATCGTACGAAGAGGGTCTTAAAGACTTTTGAACATGTTTTGACCGAAACCCAGCAGCGCCTTTTAATTCCATCCCCGTCAGAGTCAAAAAATAACTTTGTGCAATAATTTATTCCAACTCCTAACCAAGTTGAAGTATTCCGGAAAGGATTGTAAAGGGAATCGGAAAAACAGTTGTACAAACCCTTCAATGATAAAGATAATATGGTCACAACAAAAAATACTCATAAGAAAAATGGAGGGAAAGACATCAGAAATAATCATATAGCGTTAAGATCAAAACTAATACCGTTTAAGATCGCAGTTCGAGAGCTCATCCAGAAAAAGAACCAAGTGAAATCAGGACGCAACAGCTGGCTCGCAAATATGACACACAAATGGAAAATGTTAGCAGAATCACAATTCCCCATCAGCATCTGCAGTCAACTTGGAAGTTCAGAGTATTTGCCCCAAAATCAGTGGGAAGAGTAGGCATGTAATCTCCAGGGACCTCGCGTATTTACGCCCCGATCAATGATCTCACCAAATTGTCGTCAAGTTCCGAAGTGGTCAATCCTACTGCATTTTGTGTTTGTGGCCATTAACGTGAGTTCTAACATTTTCACATGGAAATATATACCAAAAAAGTAACTTTTTCAATATGGCTAGATAATTTTTGGTTTGAAATTATGATAGTTGAGAAAAAAAGACCTGTTTTTTTTCACATTTTTATTTTTATTTTAGCAAATGAAACAAAAGATCATAATCGTGTTTACAAAAAAAAAACACTTTCTTGTGGTTTTTGGATTTTTTGGGTGAGAAACTCATCCTGGACTACGTTATAAACACAAAAATGTCAAATTTTGGATGGAAATTTTTTTTTCGTAAAAATAATGTTTTAACACAACAGCAAGTTTGCAGCCAAAATAGGGATAAAAAAAATTTTACCTCAAGTTTTAATTTTTGTTTATGAAAAAAATTGCATATCAAACAACTTTCATTTTTGACAAAAATGACTATTTTATAATTTTCAAACATGAAAATTGTATGATAAGCGTTTTTTACACAGACTTCATAAATGAAACTCTATGATAAGCATTTTTCTTCTTTGGACGTCAACCCGGGGAGGTTTTAAGGAGGGGGGGAGGGGGGTGGTGGCCACCTTTGCCACCGACCCCCTGCTAAACCAAAGGGGCCCCCACTGTACCATTTTGGAACAGCTATTTTTGTTGAGGTACCCTAAAAATTTTCTGGAGGCGTCTTCGGCGCCAGTATATATAATCTTTAAGGGGAGCGCGCGCCAAAAAACGCGCTTTTTTTGGTCAAAATTCTCCAAAAATTGCCTAAAAACGCCTTTTTGGCCTGTTTTTTCAAAATTTGGTACGCAGAGCAGAAACTTGACCAAAAAAGGGTCTTTATAATGCTTTGGGAGAGCCAGAAAATTCAAATGTTCGACCTAAAAAAATGGTCAACAAAACTTACTGAAAATCCGCCCCCTCGAGAAAACCCTATATCCGCCCCTGGCTAGAGATCCCACACCAGTATCGCCAGAGGAGCTGAATACAACACCTCCATGGAGAAGGAAAAATACCTGAAAAATTTACCTGAAAAACTCCGAGCAAGACTGAAACTTTCAAAAATACTTATCTGTACTCAAAAATATTTTAAAAAATTATTTTGCAATCTAAAAGATTTCCTTCGAGTGGAAATTTTTACTGCTGCGTAGCCTTACATAGAAACACAATGCTAGTCTACGTCATTTCATTAGACAGTTTGAATGTGTTTTGTGTTGTCAAGGTCGGGACAGTTATCCCAAAGATGACAGATTGTTGAACTTAACTAAGAAACTTTTGCTTATTATCGAATAACACAGTTGCAACCTCTTTTGAATTATACCACCAATCATATCAAATCGTAACTAAGCTGAACTTCGTACTGAATTATTTTTCATGATTCTTGTTTTAGTTAGATAGAAATTTAATAGTAAATATTTTTTTCCTACAGATAACTGAAAATCTTAGCAAAAAATGCGCAGCTATTTTTGTCAGCGAAGCAACCAGCTGATCGAGTAAATTAAATTGGAAAGGACTTGTGCACTATCGATAGGAGCTGCAGCAGTACCTGGGAGAAATTGTCAAGGGCCTTATGTAGATTGGCGCTGATTTTGGTGGGTGGCTCATTGGTGATCTTGATGCTGTTCTCCAGCACTCCCTGGGGAATTACGTGTGCCTGTGGTGTGGCTGCCGGCTCTGCACTCATGAATACTCGGTAGTCCTCGTGAGCCAGGCCACTCTCCGCGATCTCGTTCAGCTTCTTTTCTAGCGCTCCAAGCCAGCCGGCCACCAAGTGGATGTTCTGCAGCACCACCCAGTGTCCTTCAAATCAAAAAACTTACACAATCCCACATAACACGTACTTGTACATCATTTTTTGCCTGCTTGCGGCTGCTACGTATCACCAATTATACTCGAATAAAAAATTATTTATTCAACATCAATTATACCTATATTCTGCCTTTTCGTTTCACGATGTGGCGATTCGGTCTGTCATCCTTGCTGTGACCTGGTGGCAGCCTTATTTTTCGTTTGAAATTATTAGACTTATTGAGACGCGGAAATAAGCTAATGTTATCGTTTTTTTTAATTTAACGTTTCATTGATTGTTTTTGATCTTCTTGACTAATCATTTTCGTTTTTGCTAAATCTAAATTAGTATAGGTCTGTTCGAGACTCGTTTGGTCGCACCATATGAGTTGAAATAATGGGTGGCTTCCCCTTATACTAATTTTTGATACAGTACACAGTCTAGTCGCCACGCTATCTTACTTTCAGCTAGATAGGTTCGTGCAACTTCTTAATCTACTACCGATCCGAATCTCGCTTTTAATTTTCCTAGTCTCAAAAGATATAGTATATACTGGTATTGTTGTGAGACTAGACTTGAGAAAGAGCAATTTTTTTCTATGTTAAATTTATTCTTTTCCGGCTGAAACTATAAAAAATTCAGCCTGACTTTTTTTTGAACTCAAACACACTAAACTCAAATGGAGAGTCGACTAGCAGTTTCCAGTGAATAGTCTGATCCCTGCGAAACATGTCACCGCAGACAAGAAGCCCAGACGTAGCATAACTAAACTTCCTCCCAAAGACATATCTTCCTTGATCCTTCAGAATTAGTACCAGTACCTTCAGTTGATGATCTAGTAATTAGAGCCAGTAAAATTTTCAAAGCCTACACCATCATGGGAGTCAAGCCAGTCAAGTTGTCCCAGGACCAAAATGGCAACAGGTCGACATCTTCTAGATCGTCCGAGACGTAACAAAAGACCACCGCAATTCTACGCCCTCCAGTTACACATGGATCGGAAGTAAACAAATCAGGGGCTAGAGACAGGGGAGGTTTTAGGGAGGGAGGGGGGGGGGGTTGGTGGACGCCACTTTTCAGGGGTTCGACCCCTGCCAAACCAAAGGTGCCCCACTGTACTAAATTGGAACAGCTATTTTTGTTGCAGTACCCTAAAAACTTTCTGGAGGCGTCTTTGGCGCCAATGTATATAAACTTTGAGGGGAGCGCGCACCGAAAAATGCGCATTTTTTGGTCAAAATTCTCCAAAAAATGCCTAAAAACGCATTTTTGGCCTGTTTTTTTTTCAAAACTTTGCTGCAGAGCAGAAACTTGATCAAAATAGGGTCCTTATAATGCTTTGGGAGAGCCCGAAAAATCAATCTGTTCGACCAAAAAAAAGTCAAAAATTTTCGATTTTTTTTTTGAAAATCCGCCCCCTCTCGAGAAAATTCTATATCCGCCCCTGGCTAGAGATCGCACAACAGTATCGCACACCAGAAGGAAAATTGAGTTTACCTGAAAAACTCCGAGCAAAACTGGAGCTTTCAAAAACACTTATCTAATCTCAAAATTATACATTTTTTTGCAATCTGAAAGTTTTCCTTCGGTTGATTCATTGTACTTGTTTTTGTAGTTGTTGTTTCCACTTTCAATTATTTTAGTAGTTTCTTTTACGCTCAATTTTTTTAACCAATATTTGAATAATTTTGATTGTGAATGTTAAGAGAAATTCTTGTGCGATCATTGGAATAGTATCTACTACGGAGGTTTGAATATGAGCAATTCTTGTTGTAGTTTGAGTAGTTAATTCGTTAGAATTAGAAGTAGAAGTAGTTCGTTAGTTCGTTAGAATACTAGCGTTTTTGTCTTGATTATTTTGACTGTTTGATCTACTTTATCAGTTTTATGAGTAGTTTTGTTAATTTCGTCGACCTCATGATCTTCCGCGAAAAGTGTTAGAATAAAGGGATTTTGATTTAATATTACTATATCTAGTTGGGAGTTGTTTTCATGAGATAATATTCTTTGAATGTTTTTGTTTGGTTGAATCTGGTGTTTCATGATTTGGTAGAAAGATTTGTTTGATTTTTGTGTTTTGGTGCTCTATTTGTTTTATCTTGTTGTTTTTGTCTGCATTCAGCCAAGCTACGTTCGTATCTGCGACAAAAGTTAAAACATTTTTTGAATCAAGATTTGCCATTGAAAATTTGTTTCTTTGAAAAGAAAATCAAAATCTGAGCATTTTTTTCGGCTAATTCGTTTTCGGTGTCTTGTTTATGAGTAATTGTTATGAACATTAATTAAGTTTCGTAGTTCTAATTATTCTGTTTCCTCTATTATCATTATTATTTCAATTTGTTCTAAAATGTTTACTAGTTGTCGAGAATTTGTACCGGGTTATCGGATTGATAATGGGTGTGATGCTCTCTTTTTTATTGCAAATTTTCCTAATTGTGGTGTTAGGGTCATCATTAGAATTTCTGTCATTTATGTTTAAAATATGTGTAATAACAGAATACCCTTTTCGGATTAGAAGTTCCATTTTTACTTCGAGATATTTTATTGTTTTGTTCAGTTGCATGAAAGTCATTGCTGTTGTTTGTTTCGTTCAGAGTCGAACATTTTTGAAAAATTTTGATTAAACTGTTTCCAATACGACTTAACTTCTGACGGTAAATTAAATTCTTTTTTGTTCTGTGCCGTCGAGTGTAGTTTGTATCAATGCTGAGCGTATATGACTGCAATTTTGCTGCAGTGGTGTGTGTATAAGTTATGGGCCTACTTTTAAGATCAGGTTATCTGTAATAGCGTTTATTTAGTATTCTTCTGAGTGTTCAGGATCTGTTCGTGTAAATACCACGAATAGTTTATTAGATGTTAAAGATGATTCACCCAATAGTTATGGATTCCTTGTACTTTTGAGTGATTCTGCTGTGTTTTGTATTTGTGTAAAATTTGTAAGTTGATTTTTGGTAATTTCATGTTGTTGTAAATAATAAGATAATGGGATTTCTTTTTTCATTGTTTCGGTTTTGTATTTTTGAAATTAGGCAAGAAATTGTGGTTGTTTGTTACTAATAAAATGTGCCAAAATTCGTCTGAATTATTGAATTAGCTCTTTGTTTTTCATACAATCTGTGAAAATTTTGGAGAATTCTAATAAGTTAATTGTTTTCGGTGTGTTGGTTGATTTGATGATTGTGATGGTAGAATTTCAAACAAAAATATGCCCTAATTTGAAGTGATTTTACTGATTCCTGGTAGATAGTGATCAATTGTTTGTCTTTTGATTCTCACTTCAAAAAGTTTTTGCCTACATGGGCTATTTCTTTTTTGAAATGTATTTACCATTAGATTATGACAAATTTGTACTTGTCCTCTAGCGGGATTGTTTTGTGGGTTAATAATAAACAGAAAGATATAGTCGTCGTCAAAAAATATATTGAACCAATTTTTGCGCAGAACTACAAATATGTTGATTCCAATGGTATGTCTTACTGTTCTGCGAATTACTAATTTTTTTTTGCGTTTACCTTTCATTGATGATTCTGTTGTGAATTCTGATTATAAAAAAAAACAACTTTAATTGTCTCGAAAGTTTTGATGTTCTTGTATTAATTTTGAATCAGATATCGAAACTGCATTTCTTGTTCTGGAAGGAAGTTTTGACGCAATCAATTGTTTTTGTTGTTATTATTGCCTTCTTTTTCGTTTTTTTTTTCAATCTGATGTACCCCATCTTTTTGTGCTTTGTAACTACAATTTTTTTCTATGATTAAATCATTATGAAGTGATTTTTTTTGTTTGTTTCCTAAACTATATCTTGACATGAATGTTAGAGCGATGGGTGCGAATTCAAGCGTTACGTTTTATATTTTCAATACTGTTAGTCCGTATGATTGTTGAGATGTTATCTTAATCGTGGGGGAGAGAATGTTGTGTACAGACGGGTTTGAGAGAGAGTCTATCGATTCGTTAGAATGATTTTTTTTCTCAAGAAGTAAAGTTTTATAAGAAAACAAATATTTACTTAGGGTTTCGATTTGGGATCAGGGGTTGGGGAAAAGTAAATTAATCCACAAAATGTAGGTAAAATTAACAAACAAGTAGATCGTTAGATACTGTTTTAAAACATACTAATTTTAAGATATGACTTAGCCTGGGTCGATTAAGAGGTGAGGCTCAAGTGAAAGATGAGTAACAGAAGTTCTTCACTCTTTTTTTTAAAAAAAATGGTTGGTTATTCAAACAAAAATCAGTTAATCTTGGTTTGCTTGTGGGGATTGGAGAGTGAATTGATGTTTGAGGTCGTTAGACACAAGTAATAAGATGTGGGGAACAAAATTGTTCTTAATGATCCAAGGAAAGCCTTGATGATCTAGTTTTTAAATGACTTAAAACTAAAATTAAGTTGAGGCTTTAAAAATTCAAGGATAGCCTTGATGGTCGGTTGAAAAAGATTTAGGTTGAACTAAAACAAGGATGGGCCTTGACGTTCTTCATATGAATATAAAAAATTTTAAGCAAATTTAGAGTTTAATGTTTAAAGGTTATTAGTTTTTGAATAATCAAATGCCATGTTTCAGATAAAGAATCGAAGAAGCGAGATTAGGGATGACAAGAATCCTTGAAAAGCAAGGAATTTTCATAGTTTTGATAAACTAATTTATATTATTTTACTAACTCTTCTTTGTATTTTTTTTCAACTACTTTTAAATTTACAAAAGTTTCAAAGTTACCTCAGAATTTTAATAAATTACGATTAATCTTAATTGGTTTGGCGTTTGGCATTTCTATAATTGGTTAGACATCATTTAGAGATATATGACTTGGAAAGGAAAATTTCTGCTCCATTTATTTTTTTCATATTGGTCAATGAAAAAGTACTGCATTGATATTTTTGTAGAAAAATAATAGCTGCAGTCCATTTTTTCATATAACGACGTCAAATCTCGGTCGGCCAATCGGATTTTGACCTGGTGTAAGCTTGAGTACCCGTTGATTAAGAAGAGACCTATTGAGATGTGGA